AAGGGGATGGAAATGTAGGATATGACCATGAGCCGGGGAAGGGACAATTACCGCCCCCAATTTCAAAAGTGTAGGATGGCAAAACATATTTCTATGTATTGTTACGTTTGTTTGTACGTATGTATGGACAATACCCTCTCCACATACTTTCAAAATAGAGGGACAAAACTGTGTTTTTGCAACCCAAACCCCATTCCTCACTTTTTGGCAATTTATTTGTTATTGAAATATAAAATGGCTACGAAAACGGTCCATTAACCTACTTCTAGACTATTATTTAGACTGTAGAAAAAAATAAGGTTTTTTTTATGCTTGTCACTTTAAGAAGTCCTTCCCCCTTTTCAATCAAAGTAATCAGAAATAGTTTTACTCGCACACAGCTTGAAGAATTGAGAAGAGCTAGTGTTTACGCAAAATCCCTAATTTATTAAAGAATAAATATCTTCAAATATCGAAGTACATAAACCGGTATATAGAGTTTTTTTGTGTTTAGTATTATAATTATGCAATCGTTTTTTAATGCAAAATGTATTACTTTCAAATTAAAAACGTCGTACAAGTCAGATATGCATCCGTATAGTTTGTTTGCACTTGTAGTCAGGTGAAGGTCTTCGGCTTTCGCCTCGGACATTGACCTGACTATTCGTCCAGACAAACTATACGGCAACGGTTGTTACTAGCCCGTTTTTGTTTTGTTACCTTTGTTCTGCATTAATACTTATCTACCACTAAAGTTGAATAAAAACAGAAACAGGATATTGAGTGCATGTTGATAAATAATAATAGAAAACAAATGAAACGGAAAGAATCCGGTCGAATGATTTAATTGGATCATGGCCATCACAACCAAAGTCATTTCTCATTTGGCCATACCTTGTTTCCGCTTTTCGTCACTGGAAATCTGAAATATTCCTACGTAAATCCAAATTTTTAATTCCGTTTTAAATAGATGTGACTTAATAGTCGCTGGCAATAATGAATGAAATGTTCTGTTAATAGTAACTAAGGACAAATATTTCATATATAAAACAAACATTTAATTCATCGGGGCCATCTTACTAGACAGATTAAGTTTTAACGGTAAGATACTTTACTACATTTGTATTATAAAAATTACTCATTACAATATGTTCCCATGCCCCGCTTGTGACTGAAGGGGGATTATATAATAGTCGTTCTGTCCATCCGACCTTTGTATTCACAACTCAAATTTAACAAATGATTGGATTTAATTGATACCTTCTATAGGACTCTGCAATATCTGATGGCATTGTGTTCTTCCTATCATGTTTCGTCCAAGAAACTTTGGAGGTTCTTCATTGCTTATCTTTCTAAAGGATTTAAGCATTTTTGATCATAAAACAATGACTGAATTTTTCATAGAAACTTTCAAAGAATCGTTCTTAATGACACTGTGAGGATATTGTATGTTTTAATTCGAAAAATTTGCAGGGTTTCACTCAGCAAAACACGAACTTTGTCATATGTATGCATATAGTGCTTGATTTCTCGCTGCGTTGAAGACCCATATGTTGTCTTGGGCTGTTTTCTTCTCTTTGGTCGGGTTGTTGTCTCTTTAACACATTCCCCGTTTCAATTCTTTATTCTATATAGTGTAGCATGTATAGTGTCAATTTGTCAGTACACCAAGGGTTTACTAGGGTACAGAAATATGGACTTTTTTCATCCGGTGGTAAACCCATGATAAAGGAGCGTACAGGATGTATAAATACGCATACACATCCTGTCAAAATAGGAACGTTTAACCCAACAACCCGTGTAGAGAGAGTGTCGTCATGCTCTCTGTACGTTAAAGAACCATTGCAACACATACTATTATGGGTTCAAAAGAAGCCTGATGCAAGGCAACATGTATGCCTCTATCTAAAAAGCCTCATTTTACAGTGGCAGTAAAAAAAGAAAAACACAAATACTGAACTCCAAGGTAAATTAAAAAAAGGGAAGTCCATAAAAACTGACAAAATCAAACGTGAGACTTTATCAACCAACAGAACGAATGGAAAACAACCGTCATATTCCTGACTTGGTAGAGGCATTTTCCGAAGAAAATGGTGGGTTAAACATGGTTTTACGACTGACTTATCCTCCCACTTGTATGGCAATTGATTAAGGCGATACTGTGATACCACAAAGGAAAACTCTGGGGGGATAAGTCGAAATTTTCGCTTTTCATTCATGTCAACCCACTTTTCAGAACCTTCGAATTGTAACTAGATATCATTGAGATGGGAGCCATCTCTGTGGGCCCCGCTGTGAATAATGTGTGGTAAAAAATTTGTATCTTTATCATTGGACATGGGGTTGTCAAATGAAACCAAAGTTTTTGACCTTGACCTTTGACCTAGGAAGTTGTACATAAATTATGACACACCCTCTGGTGTTGGTTTATATACATATCAAGTATAAACTTTGAAATCATAACGGTTCTCAAGATATAGAGCGGACACGATCTTTACCATAGGACATGGGGTTGTCAACTAAAATCAAAGTTTTTGACCTTGACCTTTGACCTAGGAAGTTGAACATACCTTATGACACACCCTCTGGTGTTGGTTAATATACATGTCAAGTATAAACTTTGAAATCATAACGGTTCTCTAGATATAGAGCGGACACGATTTGTTACGGACGGATGGACGGAAGGACTGACAGACGGACGGACGGACGGACGGACAGACTGATCACTATAGGGCGGTTGTACATGAAATATTAGACATTGAACGTTAAGCAATCAATCAATTTGTCAGTTTTGCTCACTGTTTTTCTGGTTAGGAGAAATACAAACTGAGATTCAAAAATCGTATATTTTTTTTTTGTTATGTATACAATAAACTCTTAATCTAACTCAACATTATGACGCTAAATATTCACAAAGTCGGCTATATAATGTTAACAGCACGTTTGCTTTTACTGGCCAATTAGTCTTGTGCTTACGAATATACAAACGATTATCAGGATTTAATGAATTTTAATGTTTACCAACAATGAACTAAACGGTGCATTTTCCTTGTACATCTGCTAAAAGCACAACTTTTTTTTTACATTTGAAACTGAACAATCTTCTCTCAATAGTGTATTGGTTGGACAAGGATATATAAATAGAACCGATAACCGAGGTATTCATACGTCCAAGTATTTGAAATGGTTTTGACTTTTCTCTTTAGTCAAACCTTAAATATGAGAAGCAATCAAGTAGCTCGTAAATATGATATATAGAGAGGTCAACACACAGTCTTCAACAAAAGACACGTGTCTATATACATGTACTATATGTCAAGCTCTAAATCGCCTGGGGACGAGACAGGAAATAATTGGAACCCCTTGCAAACCTTTTTCAAAAGGGCGACATTTTATCCTTCGATTGTCAACATTTCAAACTTGAAACGTATTTAACTGGAATGGCTTTTATTTTAACAATATATGAACAAATTCTTACAACATGAAAGATAAATTCAAAATATTCTTTTTTCGGAGGGAATAAAAACTGATGATATAGTCTGGTCTAATTCCTGCAGAGATTTCCTTTGTGGTATCACAGTATCGTCTTATAAACGTGTAATATTTAGACCAAGACCATATTTCATGTTTATGAAATATTGTAGCTGTGTCAAATACGTGAACGAAAACATAAGAAACTTTCACTAAAAAGACAATAGACCATATCCCTTTAATATATTGACTGTACACGTGTCAATTTGGTAATTGGAAAACGGAATATTCGAGATTGGTTCATATATGACGTAATCAAACACAGTCAAAAGGATAGAAGTTATGTGGAATAAGCTAAAAAGACAATGTTTGCTCCCTTTTAATCAATTGTTGTTTATTGTTTTAAATTTCATTTCTTCATAAATATTCTAAGTTAAATATTTTAATATTTTGTAATGCATTTTTACATGCCATGAATACCTCGAATGATCCACAAGAGGAGCAGATTCTGCTTACCATCCGGAGCACCCAAGATCATCCCCGGTATTTGGTGGAGTTCTTTGTTCCATTCGTTTGATGTGTTTGAGCTTTAGATTTTGCCATTTGTTAAGGGACTTTCCGTTTTGAATTTTCCTTGGAGTTCGGTATTTTTGTTGTTTTCCTTTAGCTGAATCATTAGTTTTTCATGTCGTGTTTAGTGGACTGTTTGTCTTTTCCTTGTTTTTCGCGGGTTTTTTTTTGCCATAGAGTTTTCGGTTTTTCCTTGTTTTATGATTTTTAACTATCAATTCGGTGTCGTCTGCCTTTTTTTTCTTGAATTATATCAAATTCTTAAAAGGATTTAAATTTTTTTTATAAAAATTATCAAAATTCCACGTTACAATTTGTTTGTTATAAATGACGCACGAGACTAAAAGTTTAGGAAGCTTTGCAAAAACATAAAATGTCAGCAACAGAAACTAACTGAAATTATTTAGGATCATTTGGGGACACTGCACCAGTTAGTAGTAAGCGATAATCAATTGTCTTTAAAAACAAGTTTGTTTTTGTATAATATGTAATCCACTGATGATGAAAACAATTGTTTAGGATGAGAATGGGCATAATCCTTAAACTCGATGCTAATATTATACTATTACCTGATGAACACAGCGTTATATTGTCAACAAGTGCACCTCTGCCTAATAATCGCACATCCGGTTTAGATGCATTGTGCATTATTGCTTTTTAACTCTTAGCGGGTTTCATATTTCACGATTTAAAATTTCAATAAAGGGAAGGTTGGGAGAGAACTTAAGTACAAATAAATATAAAAGGTTCATTTGTATACAATTTATAGTGTTTCGTAGTCAAATGTCCTCTTAAAATACGGCTTATCCAAAATTTAACTGTAACTGGCCTTCTTTTGTACGTGGTAATGCATGTAGCATGGATTTTGTGCAATCTTGAAACAACAACTATTCTTTTTCATTACTCATAAGTAAATAATATTTATTTTGCTGATTTCATTTTAAATTTATTTCTGCTTTTATTTAAAGGTTTCAGTTCGTCACATAACTGATTCAAAATGTATTTGCTACAAGTTGCAGTCTGTTTCGTTGTTATCGGAAGCGTTAGCCTAGTAACCACCGCAACAGTAAAATGGTTTAACCAGTATAGCCATGTATTTCAAAATATGATATACAGCGAGAGCCAAATAATGAAACTCAAGTATAGTACTGATGAAATGCGCAGCTATCATCATTATTATTATCCACTTGGAAAAATTACGAAATCCAAAACTTTCTGGACAAAGATGTCACCAGCACCGAAGTGCTCCGTGGAACATCAACGGTGGTTAAATATCACACGAATTAAAAGGGCTAAGTGTTCAACTTGCTGTCCTACGTAAGTAATGTAAGACTTTTTATTGCAATTCAAAACACATATATTAGTTTAACAATTTTCTTTTTGAGGAGGAAATTTGTATATATTTCGTGTCTACAGGTGATGTTAAAAGCCGTTATAAAATATTTTAATTTAAAAATATGAAAGCGAAATAAACGTACATGCATATAAGATACCAATTTTGCAGATCTGCGTCACGAATCTACGCGGTTTATTTAATGCTTGTTTTTTTGTTGTTGTTTTTTAAATCGGATACCGTAAAAACATATTAAACAAAGTGAAAAATATTCGGTTCTATCAGCTCTGATTACTACAACATGATACCCACATGTACGTAGAGACACACGAATAGATTAATTAGGGACAGACTTAATTTGTCATAATCATGTATTTGAAGCCCTCTACTTTGTCAATTACCCTGAAGTTAAAAATTGTGTAAAAAAAAAAAAAAAGGATAACAGAAATTACCAAAAATATTGGACAGTACACTAGACCACAAAACACCAACAACCGACTCCTCCGTACAAATGAGGAACACATGTCCCAGATATCCAAACTTGGTACAGTCACAAAATCGTGTGTTTAACAAGTTTAACGTGTTCACTTATACATTCTTGTTGTTTTTAAAATTAGCGATTTTTCAGTACATATTCTCATAGGGTTTGGAGTAAAACTAAGTAGCGAGTCTTATGTCATATTTGCTAGCACTGAGACATCCGGACATTACTTATTTATATACACGAGTTATAATTAATATGAGTCTAGCAGACATATAATGCAATAATGGTCGAAGGCACATAGTTCAAAATTGATTATCTCTCGTTCACAGGGAAAAATCTTAATTTAAAATAAACATTACAAGTGCAATATATGCATGTTAGATAGGTCAGAAAAGTATGGTTCCTTTCCGTGCATCTATTAGACGTATTTGACAACAAGCTTCAATGAAGATATGAATAAAGGAGAACTGGGGTACACGTCATTAGACCTAACGACACAAATAAACAAAAGACATCGAAAGGTTAAAATACAATATTTAAGAATAGAGGTATCAAACTCAAAATCGCATCAAGTCGTAAGAAAGTTGTAAATAAAATTAAACAGAAACTTTAAAAAAACATATGAAAACCACACGTTTTAAATGCCATGCGTCCGAAGCGCTTTTTTGGATTTACCTTCATCAGGAACGCTCAAAGCCGAATATTTGAAAGCCAAGGATGTATAAGATTCTAAAGTGTCTGCCATCAACCTAAATTCTCCAAATAACAGAAATCATAAAGATTTTACAGAAGACAATCACTGTCGAGTTCCTGTCTTTAAACAGGCATATGCATACGCGGTTCGGTTAAACTACCTTAAATACTTGTGTTGTGTTTCGGGTGGAAGAACACGTCTTCAAAAAGAAAAGAAGACGTGTTTCTATTTGTGTCAAAATGATGAAATTAAGTAGACCGCTAGGGGACAGTTTAGCAAAAGTATAAGATTACTTGATGAAATTGATTCTTCTCTCTTCATTTGTGAGAATCTTTAAACTGGGTGAACTGTTCCTCAAAATTTTATGTTAAGTTAATGAAATGTTGTATATATTTTCTCACCATCCATCAATCCACTTGGTTTTTTTCCAAACGCTTATATGTTAATTTATCAATACTAGATAGAGCAACACTCGAAGTAAATGTATCGAAGGTATATAATCAATGACATTGCAGATAATAACGAATCTTCACGCTACGGTTGGGATGAATACTAATTAGGTCTTTCCACTTTTCTGTGGAAAGACCTATTGTATTTGTTCTGATTATTATTATTATTATTATTATTTTTTTCTTCCGCCTAATTTTGTTCTCGCGTAAAATTTTTGTTTCGCAAGATGTCGCTTAGATATTTCTTATATAGTATCATACAGTTTATGCGCTTTTTATTTTCACCCATTCTAAGCCGAACAATTTTCTTTGTAGGAGTTATCTCCCTGAACACTGTTTTCCTTGTGACTGCATCTCCTCCGTAACCGTAAAAGAAAGCGACAAATTTATTTTACCAAATGGCTCGCTATATCCTCAGGATTTTTTGTCCAATTTTGACGGAAGCGATACGAAGACTCCATATGAGAGTTATTTCCCCTAATGCATTTGAAATAAGTGATATGCATTTGTAACTGGTAAACCATAAGTGATAGAGACCTAGGGTCTGTTGATTTGAGGTCCTTGGTCCTAAAGAATAGAAAACTAGGTCAAGGTCAAAGGTCAAGGTCATGTTGTGATTTTTTACATTAAGTTCATATCGATTCTTCCTAGAAAGAGTTATAGATATCGACAAAACAATTTAACCAAAAAGTTTGTCGCTACACGTGTTTACTAGAAATTTTTGGTCGAAATGGTACGCGTCATTTTATTGCAGGGTCAATGTCCCTGTTATGGTCGAATCAACAAATTACTTATCAAAACTTCAAACTTTGCAGCTATCATGTTGTAAATGTTTCATATCTCAATAATGAACCACAGTCTACCACTACACTCCCCCCCCCCCTTTTTTTCAACTGATTTTTTTTTTTTAAGTTATCCCATTTCAAAGAAAAGAAGACCGCTTTTAGTCCCGTACATTATACTGTAAAATGCTAATCCTTCTTATGTACAAATTTCTTTCTGAAATAGAAATCCATCCCTGCAAAAATCTGCTCCAATTCATGTATTTTCTGAAAGTAATCGATGAGACACGTGCGGTCCGCTTGATTGCGAAATTAAAATCAATGTATTACTGAAATCCTACAATCAAATTTCTAAACATGCATTAAAATACAAATCTGTGCTCCCGTAAACATGTGTACGTAATATGTATGCGTGATCCGACATCAATGACCTGTACAAAATAAAAACAATAGTTATCGTGTTTCTCTGATCAATACACATGTGCTCTGCTGTTCAACGGTCTCCCCTGAAAAGAAATTAATATTCTAACTCCAGACATATATATTCGAGCGTCACGTGACTTCAAAACATCATCACGCGCGCGGACCTAAAATTAGAATAAAACATTCGAGATCCATATCCAAATATGGAAAGTGAAACTTCCAAGACAAAATGTTACTCATTTTTTTTCTTCCTACAAGTTGAAACAAAATGTACAAACAACACATAAAAGAAACCCTGAAGTATCAGTTCTCGTAGCAAATGGAGAAAATTAGAAAAAAAAAGAAGATGTTAGGACTTTTATTTATTAGGAAATCCTAAAGCTGTCCGTTTGGGAGTGCGGGATATACAAGTACGCAGCCTCGTCGGAATATGAACGTCAAGTCCGATGCCTCGCATAGAGAGAGTGTCATGCAAACTTTCAATCAATCAATCAATCAATCAATCAATCAATCGACCAACCAACCAACCAACCAACCAACCAACCAACCAACCAACCAATCATGTTTCGGAGGGGAAAGACCGTTTAACAATTGTTTTTAAAACAATTGATTTATATTTCTATAAAGGATTTAAAAAATCATTTAAAATACCAAACTATGTTGGGATCTTATGTTTTATTTTTAATTTTAGGACTATTCAACTTTCAGTTGTAGACAATACTCGTGCATTTTATATGAGTTAATCACTTTCAATTGACATCAATTTATTTTATTTCAGTAAATTTTCAGCAACAGCTCCGATAAAAATAGAATACAAAGGTAAAACGTATAACGTTCATAAGCCAGCAGGTGGATGGCAGATCTTGTTTCTAGGAAAGTGTCCGTAAGTTCTTTCCGCTATTAAATGTTCATGCTAACGAACACCCTTCTTATAATGTATTTAATTCTATTTTATAAGCATAAACTTTTATGGTAAAAGGTAGGTTCTCTAGTAAATAGATCAAAGCACGTGTACTGAATATTACTTTTATATTTTCATTTTTTCAAAAGAACAATAACAAACTTAAGTTGTATTTACTCTTGCATTTAAAATATTTCATCAAAGTTTTCTTGGATATGAAACAATTTTAGATCATTGGACTAACTGTCATTTTTCTAAATTTTCAAATTTAAGTTCGAAAACTTTAGTATTTATCTCATTAAAAATAGGTGGACATTATAGGTCTAGTACTGAAATCCATTTTCTATCCAGAGCAGGGCTCTTATTGTCTTATGAAATACAAATTAATTCATTTTCAGGGTGTCTTTTAATGCAAACTTTTACAAAATATGTGACAATATAATTTTTGAAACAAAACAGCTTCATCACAAAGTTGTTTATTTTCAGTATGACGTTGATGTTCTTATACTTAAATAATATGATGAATCACCTATCTGGAATCAATTCTGTGAATGAAACGAATACAGAAGAAATTTGGCACACATCTTTAAATAAAACATGTACCAGATTTATCATTACAAAAGTAGAAGTTATTAACCTTTTTGACCTTTTATGTAATGCTAGCTTTATAATATATTTCATTCTTGTACATTTGTATTGTAATAAATTTCAATATACGATTTTGGTCATTGAGGGTATGGTTAATATGATATAGACCACTATTCCTTTTTTTCTTCTATCTTCAAGTTAAGTATACTAGTATATAAATAACCATATCTTAATTTCTACTTTTCAGAGTTAGGGCTACCTGTAACTTCGGCCAATGTCAACCAGAACATGATTACCATACGTGGATCCTTATAAAGGATCCAGAAATAAACTCTGAACCGAAGATAAGATTTGTTCCTGTGTCTTATCCTAGGTTTTGTAAATGTGTAAATAGTTCATGATAGCATTTGGAGAAGATCGTGTACATGACTGATCAACTGTATTATGATTTTCGAGTTATCTTTCGTATAGGAATCAATGTGCTTCTTGTTTAAGATATTTTTATCGTATTCTTATTGTGTCTCAGTGTTTTGTTGATTAGTTTACATGTATTTATGTATGTTTCTGCAATAAATATAAAAATAAGGAGATGTGGTATGATTGCCAATGAGACAACTATCCACCAAAGTTCAAATGAAGTGGATGTAAGCAATTATAGGCAACCGTACGGCCTTCAACAATAAAGTTTACCTCACCACTTGCGCCCATTAAATAGCAGACTTGTTCCTGTATTGTTATGAATCACAGCTTATGGCAAAACTCAGTAAATAACCGTCTAAATTCCGTTTAATTGATAAATTTAATAATACTTACCGTTAACTTGATGATAAGTTTGCTTTGAAAAATCATAAATTGATGTCTCTAATTATGCTCCGGAAATTTAAGTAAGGGAAATTCTTAAATAAATGTAACATAAACAACAATAATTGTCCTTTTCTAGACTGGCAAATTATTAAGTCAGGGATTTCGTTACCATAAATTACTTAAATCTTTTACTAAATTCTTTCATATATTCAGATTTAGTTTTGAAGTTTGGCTGTACCTGTAAAATTCTTATAAATAAAAGAAGAATGTGTCTGAGGACACGAATGCCCCCGCTCAAGTTTCAAACAATCGAAAATGGGACGGACGGACGTAAGCACAGAAACGGAAGGACGAACGGTCAAGGATTTAACACTTAATGCCCCCGTTGCCTACGGCGGGGGCATATTATAGACGTTACGCACGTTATTGCGTCAATACCGTGAAATAAACCAGGCCACACTGATAAACAGATTTTCTATATGATTAAAACAGTTAAGCTATATTAAATGTATATCCAAAGACTAGGCAGGTATTACTGTTTCCAAAAAATCAACAAATTGTTTTATAATATTTTACAATGATCTAAAATAAGGACAAAAATATTGGCAAAACGTCAAAAATATGTGTGTCAGATGTAACAGACTATACGCATAACAATTTGATAGGGGTGTTTGTGCTCTTTGAAACAGTGTAAAATCTGCGAAAATTCGCATGAATATTATGCGTCATATATAAAGTATTACGTTATAACTGAATTTGCGTTGATGCAAAGGCCAAAACTAATTTTTTGCAAAAATAAATAGTCTTCATCATGGTCAGATTTCGGAAAATGGTAAAATATCAAAATTTATAGGTTCTTAAAATATAAAATTATATGAAATTTCGTTTTCATAAATCATGCTCACAAAAGTACATAGATAGACCATTTGAAAACTAAATTTGTACAGCACTCACACCACAAATAAAAATGCAACGGCTTATGGCAAATGTCTTGCAAGAATGTCCAGTGTCGAATTTCGCCGCTTTTTACACGTAAACTGTCAGTTGCGAAGTCATTTATTAAAAAATCGATTTGTTGCAAAGAAAATGGTGCTTTTCCGTAATTGTACTTTAATCCTTCAAAATAGTTACATACTTTTTGATAATTTGCGTAGTCAAAACGACTTCGTTTTTAAACAAATCCCATGTCTTGCAAGTTTGTCCACTGAAGGATTTTCTTACGTTTTTAACGTTGTCGATTCGGGACGATAAAAACTAAATCGAAATTTTTGTTAGTTTAGTGTTTCGTTGTTTAACGCAACTTTTATCGCCCTTGGTTGTATCATATCGGACAGTTTTCTATGGTAGAGGAAGTCAGAGAACCTTTGTTGTAATATGAATTGTAAACCCGTAGAACAGACTCGCAAAATACACCAAATAATTTCAACAAATTTTGTAGCAAATCTTCTTGTCCGAGACTTATCATTTTACAATTGTGATAACTGATTTTAAGGAGCAATAAACGATTGCGAGAAAACGCAATTTATAGGAAATTTCAAAAAGGTAAAAATGATTCAAAATTCCGAAAGAAAAATGATGACCATTGTGATACAAATTATAATATAATCGAAGACATTGTTGAAAAGGACATGATAATTGCTGTTTTGGTAGACGATATAGATTATGAGTAGTAATAGTATCAAAAAGACCACAAACTATAACAGAAATATTTCCGATGACTGGGGTTGTTTATTTAAGTTGTGACAAGGCTGTATTACGAGAGGATAACAAATCAGTCATTTATTTTCAAATTTGTGAGGCGTAAAACTGCGATTTGTTATTTCTCTGCAATACGATTCATATGAATAGAAATTGCAAGTAAAAATCAAATTGTTGTGCCTGAAGAGTTACACCTCGATATCATACAAAGCTAGTGAGCTTATGGGATGAATATAACTATTTTTATCTGACAATAGTTTTATTTCTTAATTCAATTGTTCCGTTATTAAAAAAAGTGTACTTTTTAAGTAAGACGTTTTTAACCTGTAACTCCCCCCTCCCCCACACTTTTTTCTTCTCGGATTTAAATGGGGGGGGGGGGGGCATTGCATGTTATTACGTTCTACATCATTTGGTCTCTGGTAGAGGGTTGTCTCATTGGCACTCATACATGTAACACATCTTCTTATTTTTATATAGACACTATTATCTTACTCAAATACATATATCATTTTGTTTGTTGCTTGCGTACTTTAAGTGGGAAATATTTCATGAATATTCTGTACAATCAAACATTTAGAAGTATCCATATTGATGTATAGAAAAAAAATTGCCAACGAAAAAAAAATATCCTCGATTATCTTCGTAAAAAGTCAAATATTTTGACGTTACGAATACGAATACGAATACAAAAGTTTTGTTTTGATTCGGTTCATATATAACAATACAAACATAAGCTCTTAAGAGCTTTTTACCGAATATATGGTAACACAAACACAACATTAAAACACACAACATGCAGACAGGATATATAACAGCACAGGCATATTGAAATACATGCAAAGCACTACTAAAATACATATCACGTTACCAATTGAGATGCAATATCGTGCGTAACGTCATACAAAACGAGATATCACGTCATAATGTTTACGGGAATGTTGTTTCTATTTAAAATCAAGTACGATTTATGTATAAACTTATTGATCTTTTGAATATCTTATTCATAAAGGATGTCATTTTAACACCGTTGTTGAGTCTTTGAATACTGTTTTTTATTGGTACCACCATTTTGTTTTGATAATTAAGACATTGACATTTTGTAACTAAACATGTGTTGATATACATTCATGCAAACTTACTACATCCTGTCGATATAATGTACTTATATTTTGACTTTGCACAATCTTATCCTTTTCCAGACTGTTTATGACGTCTGTATTCTAAATCCATTGGAAATGTACTATTCATACTTTAGTATGGGAGAACATGATTTATCTATAATAGGTTGTCATTGGTTTTGACTTAGCTTTTAGTACTTGCGAGTACATTTTGGTCGGTCTTTTTAGTCTTTTGCCAGCATGGTATTTATTCTTGTCGATCTGATGAGTCAAGTTACTTCTAACTGATTTTTACATGTCTTTTTTTGCTGTTACATCATTATTTATGGTTAGGGGAGGGTTGAGCGCGCACTGTAAGTTCTATATGTGACTGTCCTAGTTCAGAAGCATATAATAGAGTGGTTTTCGTTGGTTGCTGTCTGTTATATTTGTTTATATCGTAGAGTTAAATCCTTTTCCTCTACTGAATTTATTGTTCCTTCATCCAGGTTTGTTATTCCACGGATGGAGATTAAAAAAAAGGGTGAGTCAGATAAATAAAATGGTTTAACGCCGCCACATGTCTGTGTACCTGTCCCAATCAAGGAAACTTGTCAATGGTATTCTTTTGTAACATCTGAATTTTTGTCACTTAGAGAACTTTGCACCAAATATTGGTGACAGATGTTTTGAAAGTCTCTGTAAAAAAATGGCGGTTTATAGCTTGACAAATTGTAAAGACACTTGTCTATTCTTGAAATAGTTATTATGTTGACCTCTGCAAGTTGTTTGGTTTTATTTTGGATTTTTTTACCGTTGGGTTGCTATCTTGGTGTATCTTTTATGCGTATAAATCATTATTATTAATGTTATTATTGTAATCACAAATAACAATGTTCGTATGCTGTCCTCCAAATCATAAGATTATTTTTTGACTAACTATTGATATGTGTGTGGCAGATATAAGTGAAAAAAAATGGAAAAAAAGGAATTGCCATATATATTGGACACAAAAAGAAAATTTGCACCAAATAACCATGTCGTCCTAGAAAGAAAATACAAAAAATAAAATACAAAAGAGAAGAACACATCATTCAGATAAAGTAACGCCGTTGCCTTTTCAACATCTTAAAGCATTGATCCTTGTAATCCTACTTCCTATCAAGTTCCTATGTCGTAAACCACAATAAAGCATGAACCGTAATGATGTCCATAAGATTACCACTACATTTAGCAAAGTAGTTTATTAGACGGAATATGATTTCAAATATATATTAAAAATGTGCTCGCTTATGGTAAGGTAGCCATGGCTCTTGTTTGATTAATTCATGTCAAGAACTCAAGGAACAGAGACAACATTCCTTATGTATTTTTTTTAAATAAGAAATTGCACTAAGAGATTAGCTCCGTTATGCGCAGGTATAAGCAGTTAAAAAATATTGCATGTTCTCTGTCTTTCTACTCTGTTTTTATCATTATCGTCCACAAAGAAGTTGGAGATTTGGTTCTACTTATATGTGAAACATATTGATTTTAAAGATATCGGTTTATAATTCTAAATGTAAACCTTCAGTCTTAATAATAGATGGTTTTGGATTTGATTGTCATTTTTAGTCTCGGTTTTTATAAATAGAAAGCTAGCAGAATCTTTTGTTTGGCAATTTATTATAAGAAAATAAGACTGGAGCTTTCATTTCTTTGCTGAAAAAAAAAGAAAATATATATAAATTTCATAATTAGATAAATAAATATATACACGTATAATTGTTTTTTTCTATCTACTCTTTCTATATTTAATATGCTACTAATTTAATTGAACGTAAATGCAAATCTGATACTCTAATGTCAGTGGAATTTCGACTAAGAGTTTGTGATTTGGTTTATAAATATGGGAATTGGAAAAAATCTTAAGAAGTTCCAAGATGACAAAAAGGTTATAATTTCAAATAACAGATTATGATAAAGAAATAAATGCATAATTCTATACAATGTATCACAGGAATTTTTCTGAATCATAGAAATATATTATACTCATATAGGAAAAATCACCAAAATCCAAACGGAAATTATTGACATCACACGGAAAAAATATTTCTTCCGTGAAATTCTGTTTGGAAGATTAGTTACTTCCAAGAGATATTAAAACAAGTTTTGAGTTTTGTAATTTTTCTGATTTCAAAATTCAAGATTCAAAGTTTTATTATTCTCAGACACAACAGTGTACAAAGTATGATAGTCCAAACGTTTACATTTATGCAACAATGCTACACTAAAACTTGGAAGCATACAACTGTTTTGAAAGTCTTTTTTACCAACTTTAAGCCTATAGAATTGATATGTACACACAAAACGAATTTCACCAAAACGTGAGGGCAGATTTTGCAAAACCTTAAGACTTATTTTACTTGCATCATTATAAAAACAATAAACCTGGCAAAATAAGTAAGTATAATAAACTGTATTTTTATTTTAATTTGTAGTACGTGTATGAAATGGAAAACAACTTAGTGATTTTTTTTCTGCATAATGCAGAAAACAAATTTATTCTATGTTAACGCATGCTTAACTCATTATTAACAAGCATAAAAGTTCAATGTGTAACCAACTACTCGGCCTTCAACTTCACTTTGTCTATCAAAATGTATTTTAAGAGCCCAAAAATGTCAACTGAAAATAAACTCATCATAGATACCAGGATGATAATTTTTTACGCCAGATGCGCGTTTCGTCTACAAAAGACTCATCAGTGACGCTCAAATAAAAAAAAGACAAAAAGACCAAACTAAGACCGATGCTGAAGAGCATTGAGGACCCAAAATTCTGAAAGGATGTGCCAAATACCTACCCCTGAAATTGTTTGCCTTTCGTTATAATCGCCTGTATACGTTTTGGGATCTGTAAGAAAAGTAACTAATATAAGGATGTGGGACAGGACATACTTTTAAACTAAGACATTTATATCAAGTAGTAGATATAGTGATCCCTGAAGAATCAAGGTTATTACAACATCCGCCATCAAACAAGGCCTCTTTCACCAATAATAGAAGTTGTGAACAACGAAATCCAAAGAAATAATTCTGAAATGCCGACTTGTGTCCGGAATTTTAGGAGAAATACAGTCGTCATCACTTTAAAGATTAATTAAAGACCAAAATCGTCATTCAAAATTACCACTTCCGTTACAACAAACAAAAACACCAAAAAAAACATATGACAAATAAGTAATTAAATTCCCTCAAATATGTCGACTGACGTTTGGTGTACTGAAGAAAGGACATTTTGACAAAAGAAAAACCGAATATCAATACAATACCTATACGCTGATAATACCTTTGGAAATCATACAGTTATGTTCATTTTTCGAATAATTGATGTTGACGCCAATTGGCACCAAACATGGCGAAAACCTTTACAAATTTAAAGAGTCGAAAAAGAAATATGTTTTAGATATCTTGAAACATTTCTGAAAAACCAACTACATTTACTATAAACGTTTGGGGAAACGAAATATTTATGATCCGAATAAAGAATAGTGTTGATGATGAACATAACGACCAATACCGTTATAAGTGTGAAAATTTTGAAGTTCTATAAAATCCGAACAAAATTCCGTGAAAAATTAAAATGCTACCCACCTTGTTGTTAAAAATTTGGTTTGTTATAAACATGAGGCATTATATTTATATACTGCCTGACCTCTTTTAAGCATCTTGTTTTAATATTAAATATTATTTTATTTACTAAACATTATCACATATATTTACCGTTGACAAATATTTGCCTGGCGTACCACCTTTTGTTGTTTCAAACCAACCATAAGTTTGTTTAAGCATTGTCCATCAACAAACACAATAGGTCAATAATCTTTTTTTCAATTTTATTGAAATATTGTGCAACTATTTACATTAACAAATTAAAGTTTTTACCTGGTGATGGTGTTAATGGGAATGCTTGTGCAGGTGTTTCGCGGTTAGGTGGCGTCGTTGTTGGAGGGTATTCCCGGTTAGGATCTGGAGTTTCAATATTTGGTTGTGTTGGTGCTGGCGTTTCAATATTTGGCTGTGTTGGGGTTGGTGTTTCAATGAATGGCTCCGCCGTTGTCACTAGAAATGAATAAAAAGATTAAAAATTACATTTTTTTTATTAATACCAATAAAGAAGACAATCATACACTAAACTTAGAACAGTAACACAAGATGATAGTACAGGAATTGTTACATGACATTTTTTAGCATAACACTTTGAAATTCAGAGGACGTTTTGAAATGGTTCACGTTTCATTTCAAAGTATTCGAATTGTTCTCCATAATTGTTTTGCTCAAAGGTTACAAGTAAAAGACATTATCTATGTTTAAATATAAGACTGAATATAATGCAAAATCAAAGACTAAATATTAACAACCTTCCAATAACATTCACCATTACTTTCTCAAGGACTATTACATTATTAGTATAAAAAGATGGTACCTGTTGTGGGCGTAGTTGTAGCAACTGTAGTTGTAGAAACTGTGGTTGTCGGTAAAGTTGTTTTTAAGGCTGAAAAAAATGAAAATGTGGGTTTCAACAAGATGCAAAATCAAAAATTGGATTAAAAAAATACAATACGATACATTTTGTTTGGAACATTTAATTCAGTACTTCACTATAAAGCATGCAAAAATTTCTCAATTGAAGATTTGTTATCTAAATGTAAATATACGTAGACTATCACCACCCGAGTAGCAATAGCAAAAAAGGATACTAGTATGTATTTTCTGAAGACAATCAATAATGTATATATCATTAATGAAATACACTTTTAAGTTTTGTCGAGTCATAAATATTGATTTAACATAGAACTAAATTCGCGATCTTACCATCACAAGTAGCACTTTTGACTTCTTGTTGAATCTGTTGTAAAGTGATAAAATCTTGAGTATTAAACACATGTTTAGAGTCGGTGGCTATTACGTTTAACTCGTTCTTATCTATGCCGCTACCAACTCCAATGGCTATTACAATAGCGTTCTCCTGTTTAAGTAATGCTGCCTGTGTTGCAGTTAAATTTTTGTCTGTTGACGCTCCGTCTGTAAGGACTATTATAAAGTGTTTTGAAGAGTTTCGTGCTCCGTGCGAAGGGAGAAGGTGCTGTTGTCTAATCATCTGCAATGCATCACCTGTCGCTGTAGTGCCTGTAACATACGTGGCCTTTTGAATTGCATCTAGGGTAGATTGTTTGTTCCCGTATTGATTCAGGAAGAACTCATTATGAGCCGTTGATCCGAATGTGACCAATCCGAACTGGACATTGTTTGGGCCTACCGGTAAATCATTTACAAAACGAGACACAAAATTCAGCTCATTTTGAAAGTCAACTCTTGATTCACTGGATGAAGCATCCAGAGCAAATATAATATCAGCTCGTTGTACAAATCCACATGCTGTAATAAATTAGATGTTTGTTTAGATAAATTGATAATATGCATGAAATAATTGTAAATCATTATGAAACATACTATGAATATCTGCTGAATATGATCACAATAGGGCCCATAAAGATAAAGCCTTCTTTATGACTTACAACTTGAGTTTCACTTATCGAAATAATGATTTTCAAAAACAAAAATGCACAGGCCAACATATGCAACACTCAGAATTATACCTTATATCCTTGACAAATTTAAATTATGAAGAGATGTGTACATTTCTTGGGTTATTTCTGAGTCTTATACTTATGATAGAAATTATAAGTATTATCCTAATTAAAACTTTCCTTGCTGATATTTGAAAAAAATAATAAATTATACTGAACAGTAATATCTCTTATTGAAATCATGTTTCTACAAATTACGTAAAACTGAAAAGGGAATTTGATGAATGTTAGGCATTTAATAAATTGCTTAAACATTCAGACGTCTTGCAAAATGCCTAAATAATAAAAATGCCTGTGACATTTATACGTTATGCATACCATGGAAGCACTATTTTGATCATAGCACTTCTATTTGTATATCGGGACTGTGTAATCCGATTTTCTGTAAGAAGAGAGACAACTGTCATTCCCTTACACTCCTTAATAAAGCTTTAAAATATTCGGCTTTGAGCGTTCCTGACGAAGGCATATCTAGAAAAGCGCTTCGGACGCATGAAATTTATAAAGTGTTGTTTTCATTTTTTATTGTATACATTATATATCCTTATTTACTTCATTCATACAGCTGTATGATGTAGATTATAATGTCGCCTGTGTTTTTCTCTATTATAAATTAAAGCCGTTATTTGAAAACTGTGATAACATGATTTCTTAAAAAAAGATGTTTTACTAATAAAGCCCTAGCATTCGAAAATACTGTCACCAACCAATATTTATCTATACTTAATTTTATTTCATTTATTTAATCGAACCATTTGCGCTACTTATGCCATAGGTTGGTGGAAACAAACTTTTTTCACCAAATTAATTTTGAAAATGATTGGCAGGGGTAAGATATTAATTTCAAAAATACTTTTGTCCACTTTAATTTTTTTCATAATAAATAGAATTTAAAAAAAAATAATCGTAAATTCAGCAATGAATGGAAAAGAAAAACAAAAGACACAAAAGAAAATGTGTTGCTTTGTGCAACTCTCTGTTTCCATCGGTTTTACTGTCTATTTGATATTGTATCGCAAACTTTACAAATAAACTGCATGCATAACACTGTAAAATGGTATGCAATCTTTTCTTATCAAAATAAAGCAGTCCTTACTTGATATTGATGACATATTGATTCGCTTTATAAATTCACATTGAAGTGTCAAAATGCTATTTTTCAATAAAAATAGTAAAGGAAGTTTTCATTTCATTTGTTCCATAATCACTCAGATTTCTATGAATCAAATCGACTCATTTTTTGTACATAATTTAGGCCGTTAGTTTTCTCGTTTGAATTGTTTTACATTGTCATTTCAGGGCCTTTTATAGCTGACTGTGCGGTATGGGCTTTGCTCATTGTTGAAGGCCGTACGGTGACCTATAGTTGTTAATTTCTGTGTCATTTGGTCTCTTGTGGAGAGTTGTCTCATTGGCAATCATACCACATCTTCTTTTTTTTTTTATATCTATGCTCTATCTAGTGTTTAAATGTCAAAGCTTACTAAAGTGTGAAAAAATGCATGTAAATTATTTTAACTTTGAAAATTATACATTTTGTCAGTTTGAATTTAGATATAGGCTCTTCCAGTTTAAAATGAAAAATGAACAGTTTTTCACCAGTTTCAATTGTAATCGATGATTGCGGACACCAACAGCGACATGAACGTGTTGTAACAGTTATCAATTAAATGTTTAATGGATAAAAACATTTTTTGCTGTATTTTGTCTATTTTCCTGTTTCATCTTTACTTTTAGTTTATAAAGCAGTTTTTCTTACTTCGTACTATCATAAACATGTGAATGCATCGGTCGGTGTGTTCCCATTTCGCCTTAGCTGTGAATTCCAGGTTAAAAAGGTAAAAAAAAAAAATACCAAGGCGAGATGGGAAATGAACTAAGGCGAAATGTGAATTAAGTTAAAAAATCTAAATAAACAAATCAAACCTTTGTGTTTTTATATACAGATTCTACCACTGCATCGAGTGTGATACGATATTTATCCACTCGAGACAGTTAAATTTTCAAATTTAAAACGCGAGGCTCGCCGAGCGTTTTAAATATTAAAAATTTAACTGTCGAGAGTGGATAAATATCGTATTACACGAGATTTGGTGGTGGAATCTGTTTCTCTAATGATTTTCAAACAATACGCAGGCAAATTTATTCCTTCTTTTCGAATGATCTGCAAAAAGATGTGTTCTTTCTATGTGACGTCATCAGGCATGGTCGCCTTTTTTCATGCCGTCACAATAGGAAATTCAGAGGAAAGCAAGAAAATTCGACGTCATAATCGGATTTTAACCAATGAAGAACTGAGATCAAACGAACCACACGTTGATTAAATTTTTTTTTATACAATGGGTGCAGAAAGGGATAAATTTACGAAGAATTAGAGAAAACAATTTAAACAACATGTAATGGGTGAATTGTTTCTCTTGAGTTGTTATTTTTATATTCAATTAATAAAATTGAATATTTCTTTGATTTCAAAAGTTGTGAAATCAGAAAAAAATCTGCAATAAAAAGATTTGTCAGTAGGAATGTTGCTTCTCTTGAAATATTTTTTGTTTCATTTAATAAAAGTTGCAATTTTATGAATTTTATGCAATTAGAAAAATCTAAATAATTCAATTATCCTTTACATTATGCAACACAAAAAGTTTAATAGAACAAAAAAGACAAGTTTCCCCACAGACTTGTTTACATATATAACAGAAACTTTAATTAAAAAAATCAAAAACAAAAATCTTTAAAATTGTGCTAATTATATATGATAATATTAGTATGCTAATATAAAATTGTGCTTGTAATTCAGTGCTGATTCAGAAATTAAATATTTGTTATGATTGTATGATCTTTTTCTTTATTTTATTCAGTAAAATATGAAATATTCTGGTCATCTCTAATAAGAAACAAGAACAAAGACTTTATAAAGATTTTGACAGCTAAGGCGACGGTAAATTAGGTTAAACAGTTCTTTAAATGATATATCTTTATAGTATACTATTTTAATAATATTTATGGAAAAGTTACCAAGGAATCATTATTCACTTTTTTTATGTTGGGAATTTTCTTACTTCCACATCCCTATAGCACAGTTCTGATTCTTTGTCCGAATTTGGATATACATTCTGGTTTTATCAACACTTCAACGTTTGTATTAGGTTTTGGAATTTCAAATATTTTGTCATCGAACATCAGTGAAGAGACTTGACGAAATGCAAATCTGGTGCAGTAAAATTTGTACCGTAAATGATGCTTTACAGAAAAATAGCATGACATTGATTCCCATATAAATTCACCAATAGTTTACTTACATTGACAGGCAGCAAATGATATTTCTGACTTGATAGCAGCCAAAGAATTAAATCCGGCAACTGTAAACATATGAGAGGAGTCCGACGCAATATCGAGTAGCTCATTCCGGTCCACAGAGGATCCGATTCCAATAGAAATAACTTTGACTCCAGGCATACTTTTCAGTTTATTTGCTTCTGTGACTGTATTTGTGTGTGAATATGATTTACCATCTGTGAGAACAACAACAATCTTCTGAACATTTGGTCGTCCACCATGAGTGAAAGCTGTTGTACGAGCATATTTCAATGCATCTTCGGTGTATGTCAGTCCACCATCATAATATACGCTGGTAATTGCAGCCACAAGTTGATTTGTGCTTTTGTATTGGTCAAGTCGTATACGTTCATGGACGGAAGTAGAAAAGGTAGCTAGTCCTATTTGTATGTTGGCAGGACCGATTACATACTGACTGGCAAAATCTTTTTACAAACTGCAGTTGTTTTTTAAAGTTGGTTGTCGTAACACTTCCAGATGAATCCAGAAGAAAGTAAATATCTGCTGGTTGAGATCCACACTCTACAATATTTTTATGTAACTATATGTGACCAGTCCAAATACAAACTGACATATGTTCCAGTGTAACATGCCGGAACTGAACAGAAATGAATATTTTTTTTTCGTTCTTATACACTTACAATGAAGAACACGAAAATAAATCATTTTGTGGAAAAAAAATAAAAGTGTTGATTTGCATTTAACAGCTTAATTTCACATTTTTATGACAAACTGAAGAAATAATTCTAGTGAAAATTGGAATCAAAATCAAGTCAGATTATAAAACATGAATTCATTTCGACTTTAAACACCGCGATTGTTCTAAAATAAATGATTTGCCTGCAAATTTATCAAACGCAGGTTATGTGGGATTTAGAAGTTTCTAATCTTTTAAAAAACTATAAAAAAAAAAATCTTGCAGTGAAGTATAGAATCCTGCTTTACTTCTTTTCTATTTATGGGATTTTCTGTCAAAGTAAATTGACGTGTTTCCATTGTGAACTACACTTCCATGTCTTATCGTAACTACTTTAGTAATAAAAAAGTAAAAAACCTCAAATTAAAAATAAACTAACCTGGATCAACGGTTGGTGGAGGTGTTGGCACTGTAAAAGAAAGTTAAAATGTTTGCTAAAAATCAAAACAACGAAATAAACGAATACCTAAATATTACATGAAGCAGGAACATCTTCAGTAGTTGTCAAAAGTCATATCTTAATGTTTTATCTACATTTTGAGAATAGAGTTTAAAGGCAAATTTCTGATGGTTTTGGTTAAATGTATTCATGTCTTTTTTTTAGACTCGGGACGAATTATTATAGCTTGCCATACTTAGTATTACATAGAAACCTAACTTTTGTTGAAGACTATTTTGCCCTCACTTTATCTTACTTATTTTTGTCGTTGTGCTGCTGTCTCATTGACATTTACCTCACATCTCCTTTTAGTGATATTGCAAAATGCATTTTACATATGAATTACGGTTTTTCGTTATTGGCAAACAATATTTTAATGGAATGAGGCCGGGTCAATTTCCCTTGTATTTGTTTCACTCCTAGGGTCAAAATGTAAAAGTTGTCAAGTCCTCTGTAATTTGGTTATCAAAGAGTCTATATCATTTACTTAAAACAATTTTCATTATTCATACATATTTCAATAAATTAAAAATGTGATTTAGCGATACATCCTGCTGTTAAAGGCATTTTGATAAAAAAAGAAAGAAAAAAAGAACACACAACGCGCTGTGATACTGTAAATTAAGGTAAAGGTTGAAGGAACTTTTGAAAATAGCACTCATGTGAATAAATTCAGGGGAAATTGGTCCTACCTCTTTGATAAATAACTTGTCAGAGGCAGTGTTTTGCATATTTATTTCATTATGAACTTACTAGCACACGCTGCTTGATTTAATTCGTACTGTATACCATTTAAAGCATCAAAGCCAGACACTTGATACACGTGATTTGGACTGTCAGCGATGGATTGAAGCTCATGGGTATTAACGTTGCTTCCAATACCTATAGCAAATACTGTAGCTCCTGTAGCATGCAGTTGTTTTGCTTGAGATGTAGTGGCACTTGGACTTGTGGATTGTCCATCAGTGAGCACAACCACGATTTGATTAGCTGTAGCTCTTTGACCATGGCTAGAACCATGTACATAGAAAAGTCTTGCATACTGTAATCCTTTGTCTGTATGGGTTGACCCGCTGTTGTAGGGAATCGAATTCAGTTTCTTAAGTACCGATGCCTGGTCATGGTAGGTGTTAAAATAAAACTGGTTGGATGCGTAAGTACTGAAGGTTACCAATCCAACCTGAAGGTTATTTGGTCCTATCTGGTATCGCTTTACAAAATCTTTAACGAAATCCACTTGTTTTTGGAAATTAGCACTGCCTTCACTGCTGGATGCGTCTAGGACAAATACCACATCTGCCGTTGCTGCACCACAAACTATCAATATACCACATGTTTAGTCTTTGTACTAAGTAAACGATAATAAGAGAATAAACAAATTATCAACCCCCCACCCCCACCCCCCCCCTCCATTTCCCCCCAAATGAAAAAAAAACAAAACAAAAAATCAAAATATTTATGTTTACAGCTCCCTTATTTACTCTGAAGATTTTATAATAATTCTAACAAGTGATTAGCACTGACAAGAAAGTTATTTGTATCTATACTTACGGCCTAATGGAGTCTCATCTGTAATATAAAAATCAGAGGTCATCTAAAGCTGTCTTAATTATGAGGTTTACCTGATAATGAAAATTAGCTGTACAAGGTTACTTTCATTCCTGCTACAGAATACGTCCTATTTGTTTGGTCGACAATGGTCATAACGTTTTATTTTTATTTTTATTTATTTACTGGCGAGGAAGGAGTTCAAAACATCTAACATTTCTGTCATCCGTGCATCAAATTTTGTCGCGTAAAATAGAACAAAACTGCAATATGTTTAAAAGTTTAAAACAAATATTTTCTATCAATCTGAGAAGGACATCTACTTGTGGAAATCAAAGGTTGTGGTTTGGGATTAAATTCAAGATTTGTGGTAAAAGTTATACTACATTCTATTTTCAGCACTTTAAACCATAAAAATTATCCAATTTTGGCAGTTTTGCAGCTTGTTTCAAAATACGTGAACTGTAAAAACCTTACGGATATTTCAAAAACATTATGTGAGTGATATCTAACAAAATATTGTCATTAAATTGTGTCCTTTAATTACATTCTTTCTAATTCTGTTAAGACTTTGACCTTGTTAACTCAAAGTCAGCAGGTTTTTCCCGACTCAAGTACATACATAGTCTGCCTAAGTTTGGTTCATATTGAATGTAATATTTCAATAAACATTCTTGGGAAGTCTTAGAAGTAGGGATCGAGTATTTCAAATAATCGAAGAAAGTAAAAAATGAATGCAAATTATCTATAACTAAATAGGCAAAAGATAATAAAATAATTGAAAATCACCTTTACATGTCTGTTTCTCCAGTTCTAATGCTATATCTTTCAAAGCGCTGAAGTTTGCAACCGTAAATGAGTGTCCTGGATCAGTGGCAATGGTTATGAGTTCGTCTTTATTGACTGAACTTCCGATTCCAATAGATATAACTTTAATGTCAGTTTTGTGGAGATTTTTGGCCTGAATTGCGGTGTCTGGTGGAGACTGAGACTGGCCATCGGTCATAACTATAAGAACTTTTGGAATACCATCGCGTGCCCCATGTGCTTTTGTAAAGCTACTGTTTTTAGCAAAACTTAAGGCGTCTGCTGTATTCGTTCCTCCCTGGGTGTATGGAACGTTTTGAAGAGCATTTAAAACATCACTTAAATTGGAATAAGTGTTCAGCCAAAACTGGTTTTGTGGATTACTCGAAAAAGTAGCTAGTCCTATCTGCACTGCATCCGGGCCAATAAAAAATCGGGAGCTAAAATTTGAAACAAATTGGAGCTGTGTTTCAAAGTTTGTTGATCCTTCACTAGAAGACGAATCCAAGAGAAAAACAATATCTGCCTTTACTCCACGGCATTCTAAAAGAAATGAAATAATGAGTATAACTATTTATATCAATTTATTTTGTCCCACTGTCCATCTTTTGTTGGTTTTTTTTGTAAAAAAAAATCGTTATTTAGATCAAATGGACATTACATTACATTATTAAAAAAATAACGAAATATATAAAGATCACTAACTGAAAGATAAATATTTATAAACACCAGATACATTAATTTACCATTTGTTTTACAAGCTGTCTTTTCTAAATCGGTCTGTAGAGTTGCTAAAGCATCAAAGTTGGCGACTTGAAAAACATGGTTTCTATCGGTAGCTATCTGTGTCAGTTCATTGGAATTTGCTCCGCTTCCTACTCCAATGGCGATAACTTCCGGTCCAGCCTTATGTAAATTTTTTGCCGCTTGTAATGTTTGTGGTGGGTATGTTGATTGTCCATCAGTCAGAAAGATCACAATTTGCGCCGCATCTTGTCTTCCGCCATTGGCTATTGAAAAACTGTCGTTCGTTACTTGGTTCAATGCTAGATGAGTATTCGTTGATCCCGTGTGAAATTTTATTTTAGATATAGCAGATATAACAGAAGTTTTTGTCGAATACTGGTTTAATCTGAATTCCTTGTAGACTTGATCAGAAAATGAAAGGACGGAAAATTGTGTATTTGATGGTCCAACATTGAACTGTCTAACCGTATTTTTGACAAAATCCAATTGCTTTTGAAAGTCGATTGTTCCAATACTACTGCTTGCATCGAGTACAAATACGATATCGGCCTTTTTCTTTGAACAAACTGAAAGAAATACAGGAATAAAAATGCTAGCAAATTTTAATTTAAAACAAATTATAGTCATATTGGGTATATTTACTATTGTCCATACTTTGTTGTAAGATTGCCGAAGCAACATACATTTGAAATCCTCAAATATAACAGGACGTAAGGCTCGTCTTACTTTGTAAAGAACACTTGGTTAAACATGACTTACACAATGTTTGTGTAAATAGATTTCCTTCTCTATTTCGTTCAAGTTGTTTATTGAATTTCGTTCACCATCAACGGTGTGCATTCTTCAGTTGAAACAGTAGTTTTATATGCTGTTTTTTTTTTAAGTATAATCATGTCATGATAAATATATACGAGATACACGTAGGAATACTAGTGATTTATTGAGTGTGGTTTATCAATAAGAACTATAGAAAATGTTCGTGGAATAAGACATGACATGTATACAATTGATGATGCAGCATCATTGCAAGAAAATGATATCACTTTTGAGTAAATAATTATACAAATGAGTTATACATAAGTGTATACAAAGCATTTATGCCAATGTGTTTCTTGTCCTGAATATGCTCAAAATATTTGCCACTGGACGTTAAGCAAGCAACAATCAATGTGTGATAGTTTTCTTATATCAAATTATTGAAATCTTTATGTAAACAATCAATGCCGATACTTATCATGTAAAATACTTATTGGAAAGAAGCCAAATAATTTACTGCCAAAAGATAGCTTATCAATTTTACAATGAATGACTAAGGACAATATCCACAAAGACGGCTGCAAACGCAGCAAATACATGGCTTTTCCTTAAAGACTATAAAAATAAGAAGATGTGGTATGATTGTCAATGAGACAACTCTCCATCAGAGACAAAATGACGTAGAAGTCAACAACTATAGGTCTTTATCAACCGCTTATTTTATTATTATATCTAAATAATTTGTCAAAGGTTTCAAGAAAGGTCGCATTTCGATTACACGAAGGTCATATAAATTGAAACTAATATGTATTCTTTGACAACTCGTGACATAATAAGTTTTATTATCTAAAATTAACTGGGATGACCATAAAAGTCTTTATCACTCTTTCCTTTTCGCTTGCAATTTTCCGTTGCGTTGGTGGTCATATTTTTTGGCTGCTCGGATCCACAACAATGGCATTCATGTAGGTTGGTCAACAGAAATACCAAAAAAAAACGAAAACAAAAAAAAGAAGGACAATGTATAATTGATTACCTCGACAATTTTAGTTCCAATTAGTATACTGCTTGTAGATAAAAAAAATAAAAGAACAAACGGATGATGGACCGATTATAGTTTTCACGTTTGAATTGATTTACATTTGTCATTTCGGGGCCTTGCATAAGACTATCTTACGATGCGGTATGGGATTGTTGAAAGCTGTATGGTAACCCTACACTATATGGTCTTTGATGGGGAGTTGTCTCATTTGCAATCATATCTTCTTATTTTTAAAGTGATGACGACTAGAACTTCGTTTATTTATCTACTTTTATCTTTTTGAAAATAAATAGCAAAAAAAAAATAAACATAATACCTAATGATGGTGGTTGGCATGCAGCTTGTTGAATTTGTGTCTCTATAGTCCTTAGTGCATCGAAGTTTGCCACCTTAAAAGCATGTTGTTTGTCGCTGGCGATTGTTTCCAGTTCTTGCGACCCTATCCCGCTCCCAATTCCTACAGAAATCACTTGTGCTCCTGCTAAATGTAGGTCTTCTGCTGCAGTTTTTGTTTTTGCAGGATCTGTTGACTGGCCATCTGTCAAAACTATTACGACTTTTTCGGCATCTGGTCGTCCACCATTTGCAGGCAGAAATGAGTTTTGTCGAACAAAATCTAATGCTAAGTGTGTGTTTGTTGTTCCCTGTTGATATGTCACTTTGCTAATTGCATTTCTAAGGCTATAACTGCTAGAATATTCATTTAACCAAAATTCATTCTTAACATTAGACGCAAACGTAACGACACTAAATTGATTTCTAGTGGAACCTACAGAAAACCTGCTCACAAAATCTCGAACAAAGTTGACCTGTTTCTGGAAATTTGTGTTACCCTCACTACTGGACGCATCAAGAACAAATACTATGTCTGCCTTCGATGGACAATCTGTAAAATGTAGATATAGAAACAGCATTTTGAACAACTTCAAGGTTATCCAAAACAAAGCAACTATAATTATTTGAAGAACTAATAAATAAAAAATCACCAAAAATATTTAGACTAATGCAGGCAAAAGAACTGAAAAGTAGATATACAAAAACTTATAAAATGTCCCTAATCATCTTTATATAAGTGCAGTTATACGTGCAATCGGGTTGAATATAGTATTCAATATGCAACTCTTCATTAAACTGAAAAATATGTCTATTTATATCATAACTTGATAAGGACATTCGACTATTTCATAATTCTGAATAGTTTTCCATTGTTTTAATATTTCTGGTTGGTAGGTAAATACTAATAAATGTTCGGATATTTTTTGTATCATGTGTATTATCATATGTTTAAGAATTTGTTTTGATGCGGCACTCGCCTAATATGCTAATGTTTTTTCAAGCACTACCGTTGAAATTTATAACTATCTTCTGATAAGCTACACATATAGTTATTAGTAGATGCATATTGAAGAAACAGAAAAGTGTCGATTGTGATACTATTTTTTTTTTTGTTTCTAATCAACTGCATTTATTCAATGTCTATCGGCAAATTGGTTTGTTTATCTTCTACTTAATAAAATGTCCTGATTCAAATGTGTGAATAAATTATTCTTACTTGCCGAATTCGATTTTTCTGAATTTATGTTCATTTTGTATTTATTAAAAAAAAATAAGGAGATGTGGTATGATTGCCAATGAGACAACTATCCACCAAAGTTTAAATGAATGTTTTCATTGTAATTTCTATCTCATTTTATTGTTGAATCAGGAAAACGTTTTTTCTATTTTCTTTTTTACGCAAATGGTAATCAATGTAAATGCATTGTTCATCTAAACACTTACTTGACGTTGAGAATTGTCCATAGCCATTTATAATGAACAGAGAAAGGAAAAAGACCAAAATTGGTGCGATATGCATGGCACCTATCCAATATGAATTCCTTTGAGATAGTGAGAAGTGTACAGAAAGATAGACCACTGATAAGAACATTCATAACCTCTCAATAGTTAACTTGAAAAGTGTACTCACTAGTTAATTCCTTGTTGGGATTTCCTTTTTTCTTCTTCAATTCGTAATTATTTATTTAAATCTGATCTAAACCAAATATCTACATGTCTTCCATCTCATTTTCGAGACAATTGAAGTTATAAAGGGAAGATTTAGAAAGGAATGAAAAGATATTTAGATTTATATGGCGGTGAATAACTAAGATAATTATTGTGCAAATGGGATATATTTGAAGGTATGAACAAGTAATAGTTTACTTATCTCTGAAGATTTGGCTCTATTAAGGTTTTAGGCAAAGTGTTTACAATACTCTTAAACGAATGGAGGAAGCATATCAAAATATAAAACAGCTCTCTGACGGGTTCAAAGGGATTTGGTTAGGACAGACATTCGTCAAAATTTTGATGTATCTAAACAACAAAACAACATCTGTTGCACCCTATTCGCTCAAACAGAAAACTTTTTTGGTGGTGAAGAAATAATAAAAAGAAGAAATGCGATTTGAAGTTCACCCCGGTTTAGGTGGGGTCCGTGTTGCTCAGTCTTTGGTTTTTTGTGAAGTGTTTTGTAGACTTTCGTTGTTTTTCTTTTTGGCAATAGTGATGTCAGTTTTCTTCGAATTTCGATTTTTTATTATCCTCTTGGTATCATCTATAACTTTGTAATACTGAACTATGTGCAAGTATTGAATGTAATGTTTCTTTATATGACAGATGGGATAATTTTTTTTATTATGTGTTGTGTGACATTTGTAAAATTATTTGTGATTTTAATTTGCCTTAATATCTTCATTTTCATTCGTAAATTCCTCTGTTACTTCCAACTTTTTAAATTATTTCATTATAAAATGGCATCAGCAATTGAAAATGTAACTACAAGGTTTTTCATGTCAAAGAATTCTAACTTCAGGATCAAGATATGGCTACCTTGATTGACTTTTCAAAGTAATCTATAAAACCATTTCCTATACCGGTATCCTTAATTTTACACGGCCGAACAAGAAAGGGAGTTCATTTTTTCTAATACTGAATACCAAAGTTTAGACTTGGATGTATTGTCATCCAGATTTGGACGTCTGAGAGAGAGGGCATCCATTTGGCAGTGCATGATGTATAAATACTAAGTCATAAATGGTCGGAAAAGGAACGTTAAATCGGATGTCTCTGCACGTTGAGGACCCCTTACAACAACTCTATGAGGTGTGTTGCAAGGAAATATTTCAGTCCCCATCCAACAAACACATGTATTCCTGTGACATTCGACATTACCGCCATTTAAACAACGGTCGAACCACTTTGCAAAACCTACCCTTTGAATTTACTGTTAAAACTCTTCCTGTACTGATTTACCACTGATTTGCCACTCAACGTTAGGCCAACATAAATTAATTCGTTACTCGAACACTGAACATCATTACTATATTATACATGATCCATATTCATCGTCATGCACCAATGCTTTAAGATGCAAATTGACAATAAAACCATCGAAATGCATTAGATTGTATATGTTCATGGTAAAGGGATACCTAGAGGGTAATAAAAAATTAAAAACACGACAGGTCTTTTTGTAAGCTTAGCACTGACCAAATCTGTTTATAGACATTTGATAAAAATTGTCCAGAATTAGCTGTTTGTAAGTAGGTCAGTCTACAAATTGACACGAATCTTTCAAAACGGATAAGAAATTTGTAGTTCTACATTACATCACAATTTCGAGCATGATCAACAGTTACTGGTTTACGTGGTAAAGTTATATATATATGAAAGGTGATTTGAACTGTACATTTTGTGTTTGTCTAGCGTATACGAACCATTGAACTTTTTAAAATTTACCAGTCTTCTATTTTTACCGACAATGAATTACATCCACTAATAAATAGTGTCATGTTCATAAAATTTTTGCTGGTGCCAACTCCACATAGTTTCAGACTCTATCTTTTCTTCCAAACTGGAATAGATAATTGTTTTAAATTTATCATTCTTAATTTAAATTAAAGGAGATGTGGGGCATACATCAATCATTAATAATAATGACAGTTACCGGACGACAGAGGAAAACCAGAATACATCTAGAGGTCAACATACGAGCCTCAAAAATAAGTGTATGAAGTGTTCCTTGATGTATTTCACTATATTAAAACTGATTTTATCGATTATGTCACACAAGCACTTGTCTCTGAAATTTTTTTCCTACATACCTTAATATAACACAAGGTTCTTAATTCGCATATTGAAAAATGTCACCCGGTCGCGAACTTTTGTTATATTTCGATTTCTCGGTTGTCTACCCCACTCAAACTTGTTATGCCGTTAATCTAAATTGATTTATCTACACAATAGTGTATAACACGCCTACCTCTGTTGTCGGAATTATTCGTAGGCCTCCCCAAGTATGTCAACCGTAATTATTTCGTCTCCCCTCAGCAAATTGGAAACATAAGTCTCGCAGTAAATGGTTAATTATGATTGTCCCTTTGGTATCTTTCCCCTCTTTTATACATGGGTATGTCCTTTCACCGCCGAACACCACCGAACACCCCAAAAGTGAATTGAAACTATGAAAAAAAACAATAATGTGTGTCAATTAAAGCAGAAAACTGTTGAATTTGTTGATGATTTTTTATCGCAATTTCAAAGAATAATTAAACGGAGAATACACACAGCGTTTGTGAAATTCTATTTATTCTGTTATTGTTTCTGTGAATCAAATACATATGATTCAATGTCTATTTCAATATAATTATTGAAGGTATTGTTTTGGTTCTGGGCAGATGAATTTTTTTTTTATTTTGTTCAATATCTATATTTATGTCATTTTAGGGTCTGTTTTGTCATTCTGTAGTCCAATTTCGCCTTCCTGATACTGCCTTAGTTTTTAACACACAAATTAAAGTTACATTTCTTTATAAATATTTATTACAGTAATCTTGTATATATATTACAAAAAAATAAAATATTGAAATCAGTTTGATTGTTCATCTTTTGGCTGTCCTTTCTTTGTCGGGCGTTTTCTTTGGCATGGCTTTTTGACGATTGATTTAGCTTTGTTGACCACTGACAACTTTCCATCAGAAAAACTTATCATCTCTATTTTTCTCTTACATATCTCGGTTTCCGATTGGTCAAATCTTATTGCTGAAAATAAATGTTTCTTGGAGTTATCTCATTTTATATGTAAAGTCCAGAGAGAGTCTAAATAACATTGATGGAAGGGAAAATTTGAGTCTAAAAAAAGAAACTCGTAACTCATTAGACATACCTCAAATAACACTAGTTAGATTTTTTTTCACGGAATTTTTTACAAATATACTATCTGGATGATAAGTTCTATTCAGAAAAAAACTAACAGGTTTTTTGGAAATGCTTTTTATAAATAATCATTTACTGCGAGACTTATATTTCCAATCGGCTGTGGGGAGACGAAATAATAACGGTTGACATACTTGGGCAGGCCTGCTACGAATGACCCCGACAACAAAGTTAGGCGTGTTATACACCATTGTGTAGATAAATCAATTTAGATTTACGGCATAACAAGTTTTAGTGGGGTAGACAACCGAGAAATCGAAATATAACAAACGTTCGCGACCGGGTGACATTTTTTCAAAAATGCGAGTTAAGTACCTTATGTTATATTAAGGTATATTGGAATTTTTTTTCAGACAAGTGCCTGTGCTGTGTAATCATATATCCCCACGATCAGTGAAATGTATAGTTGGTTGCTTAAGGCCAATTCCAATCTACATGTATTATCATATTTAAAATATGACGTGAACAAGTTCAACAATAGAATATCAGTTCAAAAAGTGGGGAAAACATGGTACAACTGAACAGAACTACATTTAGTTGCACGTGTCTGTCCAAAGTCTTTGTACATATCGAGATGTAAGCAATATTTGTATATTACAATTTTCACCAATCAGAATCTCCCAGCATCGGTTTCCAGTTTAAACCTTCGTAGTCTGTA